CCTCCCACGACTACAGATGCTAGTTCCATCCCTTTCTCTCCATGACCTCCACATGGAGGCCAGAATTCTGAAAGAGATCCATTCTTGAATTTGCTTGGATGCTGAGTACTAGGTTTCAAGTTATATCCACATAATGGTCCCACAGCACATGGAAAGCTACACACACTTTCAAGCCAATGCAAATATAGGTCCCCCAAAACCTTCCAGCCAATGTCCAGAGGCTGGAGGTTCTCTACCCACTTTTAGGTTTTTGCACATTTCAGATTGTCTGAAGGTCTACATTCAATGTCCATTGGCACTTTGGCTACATAAGTTATTATTTTCAGGGCATTTTTTCCATGCGCCACTGGAGTTCACATGGCTTACCACATGGCTTATGTGGAAGTAGCTGTGTGTATAATCAGAAGCACAAAGGCTTTTTCCTGCAGATGTAATCTGAGTGATGCTGGCTGGGGTGAGGCAGCTTAATCATGTGAGTACTCCAGTTTTCAGAATAGCTCAATGGGGCTTCAGAAATCATAACCTAATTTTTCCTGTGTACACATGCTCCCCAACAGATTAACTGGGTTTGCATGACACACCAGACCTAAAAATGAGGTTGAATATGTGTGGTCCAGCATGGTGTGGAAACCCAGCCACTGCCTTAGCAAATTCTGTGAAACAGGCCATCACATTAAAACATCATATGGATCACTGGGGCAAGTTATCTGAATGCAGCAATTGTATTTTCTTTTTTTTTTTAACCTGGCTTTGGATTCACTGTGAACCCAGCCCATGAGGACTTTAAGAAAGCCATGTTCATTGCTTACACGTATGAGAGAGACTTGGAAGGAGAAGCTAGATCAGACCAAGGTTCCATCCAGTCCGGCACTTTGTCTGCAAAAGGAGCCAGTGAGTTGCTTCTGGGAAGGTCACCAGTACATGTGAAGGCAGCAAATCTTCTCTACTGCTTGTCTCCACTAACTGGTAGAGAAACAAAGCCTACTCATGAGGATTTGGAAAGGAAAAGCTGTGAATGATGCACACTTAGCATATACACACAAACACATACACACAATACTCCATTGTGAAGATATGCATGCATTTTGTTCTCCAGTACCTGCCTGTGGATAAAGTCTGTCCAGAATGAGGCCCAAGTAACCAAGCAGTCAGCCCCTGCCTGGCACTGGATTTAGCTGTAAGAAAAAGGAAGGTTCCTACCAATAGGCTACTGTAATGTCTTTTCTAGAGTTTTTCTTTTCTTTTTCCAAACCAAACCATCTAGATGTATGTTATCTCTCTGTTCCACAGGATGGGCAAACTGGGAGAGCTTCTCGCTGGACAAGATAAAATTACTATCAGAAGAAACTGGCTTTAGCCCTCTAGAAAGCACTATTTTCCCCGCTCACTTCCTTGCTACCCTTCTTCCCCATTCAGGATAACAGTTCCATAGCTGAAAGAGAAGAGGTCACTTGCTTTCCTTTGATTCCAAAAAGGGTCCACCCCTCGCTTGCTGTGTAGGCTGAGACTGTGGCAATATCCTGCCAGCCGTGCGCAAGGCCTCTGCCACAGATGCCACGGCATCAACCATCGGATGGAGGATGTCCCTGGTGCGCTGGAGCTCAGCCTCAATCATACTGAGCTCCTTAATCCTAATCTCCCTCTCCAGATGGCTGTCCCTAGCCCTGGCCTCTCTATCCAGCTGGGCCTCCCTTGCCCGGGATTCGCGGTCTAGTTGGGCCTCCCGTGTCCGGGCCTCCCTGTCCAGAAGCATTTCCCTCAGCATTGCTTCACGGAACTCCCCGGCACTGATTTCACTCCTCTCATGAAGGGCCTCCATGGTCTCCCAGGTCCTCCTGTAGTCGGTCATGATCTCGTGCATCATTTCCTCATGTGACCGCCTCTTCCTTTCCCGCATAGACGCCATCCTTTCTGCTGTCGTCAGGGGACGCCCAAGAGGATTATCTCGTCTGCCTCTGCCTGCAAGGGGGAAATGGGTTAGGCACCTTGACAATATTATCTACTGTTCAATTAATCAGTCCAATTAGCTGCCCTAGCAGCAGGGCAGCAAAGCTGAGGTAGCCTGAGATAGATGGATTCTTTTATGTTCCAGGAACAGGAATCTAGGGCAGTCTGCAATTGGATATAATTTAATTAAGCTGGTATGATTTGGCAGTTAAAATAAGGATGGAGAACCTATAACCTTCAGCATCTTTTCCCCATTGCCACTGATCCAGTGTCTGCTGGAACTTGTAGTTCACAATACCTGGAATGACCCACTTCCCACTTTCTCGGCTGGAGTGCCAGAGGCCCAAGCTCGGTCCTCATTCAGTTACAAATAGGATGAATGATTTAAGGGTAGTCACTATTTTTCATCCTATACTGAAAGAGTTGAAAAACAATAGCTTCTGTGAAAGAATGACCAACTACCACCAAAGCAAACAAGGAAAAGGTGAGATATATGTGAGATTTGGATATACATTTCACTGCATATTACCCAAGTTCATTCTGTTTGAAAAAATTTGCATGATTAAGCATAACAGCCATTTTTTGCACAGAAATGCTGAGTTCTTCAGTACTAATGTGCTTGTATACTTCTATTTTAGTACCCTCAAATTTCTCTGCACCAGTGTCTTTTTACATATTAGAAAAATCAGTTGAATTAAAACACTGGACAGTTTGTACCAGACTCCAGCTTCATTTTTATTTCCAAAAATCCATCTGAGGGCAAAGTGAGTTCTATAAATTGGCATAGAAAATAAAAATGATGTGATTTCAGCCCAGTGCTTCAGAAGTGTGCTCACGTGTTCAAAAAAGGAATAAAGGTTGGAGGGGTAATAGGGAGAATTTTGTGGGAAGGGTCTAAAGGTAGTGGCAAGTACTGTCCCAATCTGGCAAAAGGGTAATTGGTTATGTACATTGGCAGCCATTTTGTGAAGTGTGCTTGTAAAATATTCCCCAAATGTTTCCACCAGCCCAAACTCAGTACAGTATAGCTTCAGTGATATGGAAAATAACATTCTATTATTGTCTCTGTTATTCTGAAAGAGTACGTATTGCAAAAGTACCCCAAAATATTAATACTGTGACCAAGATTTAGCAACTTTTACATCTTCACAAGGAGCTAGATCATATTTAATGTTTGCTCCATGTACAATCTGGTATTTTTATTTTCAGCCCTCAACTTCCTTCTCCCTTTTGTCCACAAGCAGACTTCTTCTTCCAAACTGGCACTTTTCCAACGTCTCCATTTTCTCTGTCCTTCCTGTTTTTCTCTTCTTTTTTCCTTTCTGCCTTTAAACAGAAAGGAAAAAATCATTTTGACAAAGTGGAAGTGAGACTGCTGGGAACAACGGCTGATTGGTTGCTAGAATGAAAATCTAAGTTACCTCTACCAAACACCTCTTACCTTTTTTGATCTCGGCTCTTCTCCTCCTTTCTTCCACTTTTTAAAGTAAAATCAGCACATCAGAGAAACCACAGGTCCATGTGACTCTCTTGGCAAACTGAGATGGGAATCCATAACACCCACTTTTAGCCTGGCTCCTTCTTTGAAATTAATTTCAAAGACTGCATTTGTCTCCCAGCTGCATCTAATTTGGGCTTCTAAGCAGGAGAAAATTCAGGTCATTTCTCTTACTTTCTACAAACCAAGAGCCAATCTCTAACTTTGTGGTATCTCAGACAAGTTCTTATGGCTAATTTAAACCCAAGGATATGAGATGGCTGAAGAGCTGAGAGCACCCATTGAAAAAAATGCCATTGCAGAAATACGGCGCTTGCTCACCAATAGCAGCGGGGTGCCCATCTTCACTGCAGCCAGGAACCCGTTGGCCACACAAAGGCACCGCCTTGTCTTCAGTACCTTCCTCAACTATTGTGGTTTCAATCACGCTGGGATCTACCACTGTCACTAACTCTCGTGAGATCCCCATGTTCGGCTCTGTTTCCGTATCTGTGTCTGCGTCCATGCTTGAGAGAGTGTTTGGGGGCGTCATTTGATTGCCCTCTTCCTCGGAGACCTGGGCCTCCATGTCTTTTGCATCCTCGCTTTTCACCACGACCCGCATGGATCCATCCATGCCGGCCAAGCTCCGGTTGGTGGCCCTATCCATTTCACCTCCAAACATCTGATCCAACTCTCGGAAGTAACGGCAAGACACGGGCTCGGCTCCAGCACAGATCTGTGCATCTTTGGCTCTCCGATAACTTCGCTTCAGATCCCGGGCCCGGTTCCTACACTGTGAAGCGTTGCGCTCGTGACCCCTGGCTATCATTTGGGCTGAGAGATCCTCGTAGATGTCACTGTTTGGTGGCCGGTTTTCAATCCACCTCAAAATCAGCAGTTCACCCCAGAGGGCAAGGAAATCCCGAGTTTCTGTCTCTGACCAAACCGGAGCTCGAGGCTGCAACCGTTGGCGAGGGGTATGTGGCATTTCTGCTTGAGCCTGGTGGATGCAAATCAGCAGCAAACTCCACAGTGCCCAAGCTCTATAATTGCCCCCAGAATGCCAGATTTTCCCCAGAAGACCTAGAAGCTGCTTTTGGGGAGGTAATAACACAAAGGTGGCATAGAAGGGCAGGACCCCGAAAGAAAGGCAAGATGGAACCTTTTGCATGAACGAGTGTTCACATGAACAGTTGTTAGTCAGTAGTAACGTCGTGGGCGGAGCTTCGATCCGGACTTGGAAAGGTCTCTTTTAGACACTTGGAAGAACCAACCCCCGCTTGCTACGTCAGAGCCACCGACCACTGAAGGGCTCCTTTTGAAGAAGGGTGGAAGCCGCCACGCCGCGAGCCAATAAGCG